GCACTCACAGCTTCAACTTGGGCGCGCCAGGCCGACCCACGCGCTATCGTAGCTCGCAGCCGCATGCTGGTCGTCTTGCTCGAGGGCCCCGTCACGGACTCCAGGCTGCCGCAGCCGCCCCAACGAGTAGGGCAGCGTGTCGAAAGCTGTGAAGCGGTACAGCCAACGCTCCAAATGCTCGAGACACTCCCTGAGCGTTGCTCGTGGAAGCCACGGCGCCGTCGAAGCCTCGGCATGGCAGTGGCATGTCCCGTCCCATCCGAGTGTTGGTCTGGCGTGGGAGCACACCCGTGGTACGAGCCTGAATTGGGTCAGAAACCTGTTGTGCGGGCATGCGGCGGCCAAGACATTTGCGATGCTGGCCCTGGCCCCCTCGTTTTGAACGTGGCCCAAGACGCGGGCTTCAAAATTCAAGGTATACGAGTCGACTATCCCATCCAGCGCCTCGCAGATGCGAGGCAAAGCAGACCATCGTCATTTAGCTAAATTGACCAAAGTGATCGTCCTCAGTGCAGCAGCGACCCTTCCTCCCTGCTTTCTCGGCGCTCTTCCTCCGTATCGGGTATACGATTGCTTTCAAGCACTTCAGGAGGATTTGCCACCACGGGGGCATGTGGAGAGCTCGGCACAACAGGTTGTCCCAAGAATGTTTCCAGCAAGGCCCTCTCAGCGCCCTTGGGAAGAGACGATGCTGTCGCGCATTGGATGCGTCCAACTTCCCCCCGATGGCAACGATACTTCTGGCAGGAGGTCACCCGCGTGATCGGTCAAGCTCTCGGCCCCGCTGTCCGTCGTGACGGCGGCGACGCCGCTGCAGCACGATCTCGGGGAGGCGATGCCTGGGCCCAGCAGCAGCCATGACTGCCACAGCAGGGCGAGCACCTTTCCTCGTAGATCGAGCCGGTCCGAATTCAGAGTCACGCGCGGCAGAACCCGTCGTTGCGAGGGCCTCGGATGTTTCGCATCTCAGACGCTTCGTCGTCGCCTCGACGACTGAAGCTCCATGCTCCAAGGCATGCGCACTGGACGTATACAGGATTTCCAGGACGATATGGAGAGCGCGCTCCACCGGGCGCCGTCTCCCAGAAGTGTCAGAACAGCACGCACGATACCAAGTCAAGCCTCGCCCTCGATGCCCTCACGACCTCATCGTTCATGCTCTTAGAGTCGGCGCACAGGGCCGCAGCCAATGCACCGCATTGCACAGGCACTCCAGTGAATGCACGAGTGGCTGCATTCGAATGCCTCTCGAAGTCCCGAACGCGAGTAGTATGAGACCACTTGAGAGCGGTCACCACATCTATACCACCGCAGGCTGGTTGAGTCGGGCCAGTCTTTGGGCGGGGGGCACCACCCTCAACAACAGCATCCCCACTGGCGTTCGAGGCCAACCAATTTCTCACTATTGTGCATGACGGCTTGCAGAAAAACCGCGCGTGTTTTGGGACCCGCTTGGTGGTTGCGGTCGAATAGAAGCAATATACATTTTCTCTCATAAAATCTTCCGCAAGACCAGGTTCTAAGCGAATACACTCGATTGCAAGGTCATGATCAAACCATTAATTGAAAACACAATCGACATGTTTAAGGATACATCCGCGGCAAGTTTCGAAGACCTCCTGAGGAACCAGGTTTCGCAAACGAGACGAGGTTCGGCGAATGCTTGCGGGAGGTCCTCATTTTTGCCGAATCCGAATGTTGCAACGCGTCTGCTCGACAAGCTCGAGCGCGCCACGCCAGACGCCCAAGCAACACATGTATGATTTCTGTGAGCCCCTGCACCGTCGCACGTTCGCAACCTCCACGTTCCGTAGATTCCGCCGACAGCATAGAATTCATCATCCGAATCGTCGCAAATCTTTGGACCACCCACTGTCAACCTGTGAAGATCAGCCGTCGACCCGCCCTCGCACGCGATGACCAAGAAGAACGCGGGAGGCCCTTCCCATCGAGTGTGTTGGAGTCTCGGACGAAGAGGGTGAATGACAAGGGCGCCACCACCATCGTCTCCAATGATATCATCGTCATGCTCGTTATCACCCTTAGCAGGAGGAATAGCAACGTCCCAGCAGGAGTATGAGTGGAAATGAAGAAAGCCTCTCATGCTCGAACGGGCAGTTGGTGACTGAGTCATCGTCCCTCGCAAGAACCAAAACGGTCAGATGACGTATACCCAAGACGAATACGATGGCGATCTTGTTGCGAGGCATTCGGCCTTCCCTCTCCCTCCTGTTCCCCGCGTCCCCCTCGTCCTCCCCGCCCCTGCTTGTCCTCGACACCTTCCTCAATTTCCTCTCATATCCGTATGCAGTCGGACCGAGGTATAAGATCGAGGTCGGTTCGGGGAGAGTACCCTAGTGTTCTCCGTGTGTGTTGGATGTTGTGTTGCATCCAGAGGAGGGTACCCTTGGATGGTCTGTTCGCTTTGGCCGAGAGAGGGGTTTCATGTTCTTGAAGGATGTTCTTCTTGCCCAGGTGCGACTGTGCCCACATTCCTATGACCGCCCCTCTTCTCTCACCCTCTTGCTCTGCCCCTGTGCCCCGCGGGAGCTCCGAAGCGCTGGCTTGATGGTTGCTGGTGTCCGGGGGCAGGACGCCCCCCCGCACGCGGACGAACGGGGGACCGACGCGCCCCTCGGCTGGCGCCGCGTTCGCACGGGCCGCCGCTGATCCTGACGCGCGGGGGCCGTGCCCCCAGCTCTTGGCATCGCTCGGACGAGTGCCATTTAAAATGGCACACGTCCGAGCGATTTTTTCTCGGCGAGAAAAAATGAATTGTTCTCGGCGAGAACCATCGAGGACCATCCTGGACCATCGAACAAACAAAAACACGCACGAAACCGAAAAGTGCAGGGGATGTGGACGTCCGAGCGATGGCGAGAGCTCGACGGGCCCAGGCCCAGGCGGAGCGGCGGAGCGCTCTCGCCCCGCGCGCGCCCGGCGGGGTCCCCGGAGCCGGCGCGCCAAGACCGTGGGCCGACGCGCGGGGGCCCACGGGCAGACGCGCTGGGACCATGCCCGGGCTCGACAGGCCCAGCGGCCGTGCCGTTGGTGAAGGAGCCGCAAGGCTCATCGCACTGTAGATTGGCTTACATACTGCGTTACACGGAACAGATTCACTGCATTAGGTGTTGCCTTACATGCTGCATCACATGGAAACACATTACATTGCACTACACTGCATTACATTACATTGCATTGCATTACCTTACATTGCATTCCATGCTGACTCACCGTGGTTTTACATTCCATGTTGCATCACGGCCTATCTACCCGACGTGCACACCACACTGCTGCAGCGATGCCCACGGCACTCGCGACCATCGCCTGGCACTCAAAGCTCCATGGCGACAACGAGATGCGATGAGAGCAGGGCTCGTCAGGACGGGGGGGCGGCGGGGACGAGGGCAGATATACCTCGAGCCCAGGCGTCCACAGTGGGGAGGAGGAGGAGGAGGAGGAGGAGGAGGAGGAGGAGGAGGAGGAGGAGGAGGAGGAGGAGAGGAGGAGGAGGAGGAGGAGGAGGAGGAGGAGGAGGAGGGGGGGGGAGGAGGAGGAGGGGTGAGGAGGAGGAGGAGGAGGAGGAGGAGGAGGAAGAAAAAGAGGAGGAGGAGGAGGAGGGCAGATATACCTCGAGCCCAGGCGTCCACAGTGGGGTGTAAGGTCCCATTCTCCACAGGCAGCGGGCTCCACAGCGGCCACCGCGTGGGCGCCGACGGGGCGGCTGCCCTATGCGAGACCTCGGCGGGCCCAGGGCGCCCGCGCACGCCTCGCCCCCACGGCGACGCCCACGAGCGGGCACCCGGCGATAGCCGTGGCCTTGGCATCGCTCGGACGTGTGCATCTTTCCCTCGGCGAGGGCCATCGAGGAGCATCCTTCATCACTTTCGCAGGCCTGGAGGTTGACACCAACACCAATATCGGCGGTGTGCCTCCACCGAGGGAAGAAAGATCCCGATCTCGGCGATGGTGGTAATATTCTGGCTTCCAAGGCGGCCGAAATATTACCACCAACACCGAAATCGAGGACCATCTCCCCCCTGTGGAGGCAGCCCCCCGTCTTGGTGTTGGTGCCCATTTCCAGGCCTCCAATTCATCATTTGGCGAAAAAGCCACGCACGAAACGGAAAACAGCACAGGGAATGGACGTCCCAGCGATGCCCAGCGCGGCGCCCGCGAGTGGGCACCGAGCGCTGGCCAGTGGCGGACCCAGCCAGCGCACTGGGCGCCAGGGCTGGACCTGAACGGTGTTTTCGGTGATCTCGTGGGCCGTCTTCGTTCCGATGTTGTTGCTGTGGGGTAAAGGCGGATTCGAGACAAAAACCAGGGCCAACGAGTAGTGGAACGCGAGTAGTCACTTTTGCGAGTAGTGGAACGCGCTCGTCGACGAGCGAAACCCCAGCGGGCTCATCCGACCATTCGCAAACAGCAGTGCGATCCTCTATATATAGATCGAGTCGAGCATTGCGTGGGGAATCCTTTGTTCTATACGTGTGGGAGGGCGGTCATCCTTTCCTCATGCCCCATCCTCCCTCCCTCCCTCTCCCCCATTCTCCTCCCCCTCCACCCTCCTCTCCCTCCTCCCCCTCCGCCCTCCTCCCCCGTTCCTCCTCCCCCTCATCATCATCATCATCATCATCATCATCATCATCATCATCATCATCATCATCATCATCATCATCATCATCATCATCATCATCATCATCATCATCATCATCATCATCATCATCATCATCATCATCATCATCATCATCATCATCATCATCCTTTCATCCGCTCTCTCTCTCTCTCGCTTTCCATCCCCCATGCGGCCCCGTCCTTTCCGTGCCCCGTGCGGGGCGGAAGATCTCGAGCGGACTCTGCTCGGGAGGCTCATCGTCGACCTCTCTGCTCGAGCCCCGGCTCCAGCGGCTGGGCGGCGAGCCCCTGGCTCGAGCCCGCGGGCCTGCGCGACCGCCTCGGCGAGGCCGGCGCCCCGCCGGCGGCCAGGGCGCGGCGAGATGGCCGGGTCGCGCCGGGCGGGCCGTGGCGGCCTGCGCCGGCGCCCGCGCGGCTTCCCGCTGGCGGCGCCGGCGGGCGCACTCCTGGCGCTGGCGGCGGCGCCCCGGGGCGCGTGGCCGGGCCGCGCCCGCGCGGCGCCCGCGGGCGGGGCCTTTGCCGGCCCCGGCGGGGCAGCGGCGCCGGCCGGCGGCGGGGGCGCCCCGCGCTGGACGCTCTGGGCCGCGGCCGCCGCGGCGGCCGCCGCCGCGGCTGCGGCCGTGTCGCGGCGGGTCGCCGCGCTGGGCGCGCGGCCGGGGCGGACGTCCGGGAAGCAAAGGTATACAGTCGGGGCGCTGAAGAAGGAGCCCTTCTCTTCGGCGAGGGGCTCGGTGTTCCTTGATTGTTTTACAGTTTGCCTTGGGTATTCCATGGAAAATCGAAGTTTAACTTATTGGAACAAAGGGGCCTCGTTCCTTATTTAGGGTTCCTTAGGTCAACGCCCCGACAGTATATTGATGCCGCTGCTCGTCCTGGAGTGCCCTCGTCGCCACGGCTGGATTCTCGTCGAAGTGCTTCAGCCACGCGGGGGGTGGGTGGGTGAGGGGTGACGGCTTCTCACAAGCACCCCTGCTTCTCAGAAGTAGCGGTCCTTACCTGTAGATGTATGGATGGCGCCTTCGGAGAAGCAGCGTCCCGCTAAGAAGGAGCCTACTCCCATGAGCGCGCCGCCAAGTTCTGGACAGCATGAAGCCCAGGACAGGTCCAGGCAGTAGCTGCATCGGTACCCCTTGGTCCCCCAGGACGGCCCTCATCTTCGGGGTCGGCTACACAGGGGAGCGTCTGGCGAGGCGCCTGGCGCGCGAGGGCGGCTGGAACGTCTGGGGCACCTCGCGCACGGCCGACGGGCGGGCGCGGCTGGGGGCGTCCATACCTGGGATGAGGCTGTTCGCCAGCGCGGCGGAGGCTCTGGCGGCGGCACGCGCGGAGGGCGTGTCGGTCACCCATCTCATCGCCACCGCCGCTCCCAGCGAGGAGGGGGACCCGCTGTTGGCGGAGCTGGGGGAGACGGCGTCAGAGCTGCTAGCGCCCATCCCCTGGGTGTGCTACCTCTCGACCGTCGGGGTGTATGGCGACTGCTCTGGGGCCAGGGTCGACGAGAGCAGCCCGCTCAAACCGAAGTCCAAGCGCGCATCCCTGCGCGTGAGCGCGGAGGGCCAGTGGGCGAAGGCAGCGGGCGGCGCGCTGTGGATATTGCGCCTCCCTGGCATCTACGGCCCAGGGAGGGGGCCACTGCAGAAGGCACGGAGCGGCGAGGCGAGACGTATCATAGCCCCGGGGGGCCACGTGTTCAGCCGCATTCACGTGGACGACATCGTCGGCGCGATCGTCGCGGCCATGGCGCACGGAGTGCCCTTGCAGGGTGGCGCGGCGGCGAGAGTGCTGAACGTCGTGGACGACGAGCCGGCGCCTGGGCACGAGGTCTCCGGGTTCGCCTTCGAGTTGCTCGGCAAGCAGCCACCGCCTTGCGTGGAGCTGGAGAAGGCCAGCATCCCCCCTCCACTAGCTCCTCCTCCTCCTCCTCCTCCTCCTCCTCCTCCTCCTCCTCCTCCTCCTCCTCCTCCTCCTCCTCCCTCTCCTGCCGAAGGCCGACCTGCCTGCGGTGGCGCGATCCTTTTACGAGGAGAGCCGCTTCGTGCTCAACCGCCGCTTGCGTGACGAGCTTGCCTACGAGCTGGTCTACCCAACCTACCGCGAGGGCCTCGGGGGACGCCAACTAGCTATGCACCAGCCGTCACCCGTTCCGAGCCTGGCGAAGCCAATCCTGGGCCCCAGATTACGTGTACGTATGTTGCACGCGCCGTTTTGGCCAAGAAAGGAGGGCGCAGACGCCAACCCTGGACCCAGGATGTGCTTGCTGGGAACGGAGCCAGTGCGCAGGCCGCTCGCCGAAAGCAGCTATCCGTGAACTCCTGGGCCCAAGCTTGCAGCAGACACATACGACTAGAGATCTTGCTGTAATGAATCTTGGGGCACATTCTTTGTCGAACTTTCGCTTTCCTGAGGTGTCCCAGAGCTTATGTGAGCACCTGGGGCACAGGGGGATAATACAGGTTCCGCGGGGCACCTGCTCGCAGGCCGGTCTCAACACCTCAACCCGTCGTGTTTTTTTTGTCGACGAACAGGCTAGTGGTGGGGCAGGTCGATTCTGTAGTCAATCTCCTACTCGAAGAGTTACGCGGTCGATCCCGGGGACCTCAATAGGTCCTTCTTCGCCTTCCCTGCTTCTGCTCGTCCTGCTCCGCACTGCCCCGTGCTGCTGCGCGCCCCGCACCCCTCCCTGCTGCTCCGCGCCATGGTCCGCATCGATCCGCGCGTCGCCACGGAGCTGTTGCATCTGCCTGCGCCGGTGCGCATTCGGATGCAGCTCCTGGGAGGTCAGATTCTGATTTTGCCCTGGTCCGAAATCCGGCTGAAGCCCGCTTAAGCCCTTTTAAGCCGGCGTAATCCGAGGCCCCCATCCGGCGCCACAGCCCCCCAATGGGGCTTGATCTTTTCTCGTTCTTCCGACGAAAACCTCCCAGTAGTCGGGCGAAGAGAGCTATGCACATGCACCGATCCTGGCAAGGCCCATGGCTTGACCCAGGATCGGTGCATATGCTTTCCTGGCCACGGCAGGAGGGCATATTCATATGCACCGATCCTGGGCTCAGGATGGGCCTGGCCAGACTTGGTGTATGTGCATAGTTCTTTTTCCTTTAAGTAGTTGCCTCCGAAAGTGTATTCTGCTTCCCTCTTCGAGAGGGGGGGCCCGAGGAGCAGGGCACGCCCGGCAGGGCGTCGGGCTGCGAAGAAGGCGCCCCCCCCACCCCCCAGGCAGCCCCAGCTGGCCTCGACGGGGCGGTGCCGACGCCCTTCAGGAGGGGAAAAAACACACAGACACAATTAATCGTCGATTCCCAAGAAAATATGTGCAAATGTGGGAAGTGGGGGGGGAAGGCGAAAACCCAGAAAATATAGGAAAACATGGGAAATCCTTTAATTTGCGTGTATTTAGTTGCGTGTCCTGGGGCCCCATTCAACCCGGGCACCCGCCTCCGGCGGCCTCGGGTGCGCGCCGCGCCCCGGAGTCTTCCGAGCATTCTCTCTGGGTGGAGGGCAAAAGGGGGAAACTTGGAATGCCGCGTCGATGGAGGTTCGAGGCTTGAATCGGGGGTGGACAGACCTCCTGCCCTGACACGTCGACTGAGGAATTGGCCGTTGTCGGTTCGCGAGAGGGCGTCGCGGCCGTCATGTTTGCGGGTCCAGGTCCGTCGGTTTCGGTCCCAGGCCGTTTTCACTAAGGGGAGGTCTACTAAAGGAAGGTTTGTCCACCGCCGATTGAAGCTGCAGAGGGTGAAGCACAAGTCGGATGGATTTGAAAGGTGCACGCCCGTATGGGTTTCACCCCGAGCCCTCTACCCCAAGGAAATGCCCAGGTGTTGAGGTGTTGAGACCGCCCTGGAGTGCTCGGGTGAAGTCGGGCCTGTCCCCTTACAGGAGGAATATTCGAAAATAATAACAAAAATAGTCGGGTGACGATGTGTTGGCTATTTTTTAGCCGTTTTGGGGAGCATGTTTTGACACATTCTTGAGTTTTCGTCCAGAATCCGCCTGTAGGGGGACATGCCCGACTTAATACTCGGGGTGCCTGTTCAGACCAGCGGGGACTACCTGGGTGAGCTGTCTGTGCGCAACTTGAGGGCTCAGTACCCGGCCCACATCCGAAGTGGGGAGGGCCCTTGCGGTTTTTATCTGAGTTTTGGGAGGAGCTGGTTCGTGAAGCACAGTGAGCACATCGAACAAGAGATCGACTTACGAGCAGGTGCCCGCGGAACACGTATGATCCCCTTGAGGCCCCGGGGCCACATGAGCTCTGGGACCCCTCAGGAGATCGAAAGCTCGACGAAGAGTGTGCATCAAGACTCATCACAGCAAGATCCCTGAGCCCCAGGGGGCCACATGAGCTCTGGGACACCTCGGGAGATCGAAAGCTCGACGAAGAATGTGCCCCAAGGTTCATCACAGCAAGATCTATGATCGTATGTTCAAGTCGGGCCTGTTCCTCTACAGGGGGGACGTTTTTTGACTATGTTTGACTATGTTTGAGCATTTGGGGTGCATTTCTGGGGTATTCTTATTTTTGCGTCCAAAATCCCCCTGTAGGGGGACAGGCCCGACTTAATCGTATGTGTCTGCTGCAGGCGGTGCCCCGACGGCCTGGCGGCGCCTCCGGCGGCCCGTGGGGCGCTAGACGCGCTCCGGGGGCGTGGAGGTGCCAGTCGATGCGGCATCGCCGAGCGCGTTCCACTACTCGCAAAGTGCATACGGTAGGTTTGCGTCGTGTCGACCAGCGGCGACCCCAGCGTGGGCGTTCAAGATTGAACGCCGTTGGCGACCCAGAATCGATCGATGTTGAACGATCGGACGTTGCGGCAGCGGCCGATCGTTCAAGGTTGAACGATCCCTGCGGTGTCAAAAACCAACGCTGGGGTCGGCACGACACGAACCTGCCGTACTCGCAAATGTCTTCAAAACCATATGTCTGCTTAGGTGTAGTATATCGTGAATCCCCTGCGGCGGATCCAGGCCATTTGCGAGTAGCTACTTTGCGAGTAGTAGAACGCGCTTGTCTACGGCAGTCGGCCTCCTGCTCGAGTACAGAACTCATCTACGGTCCCGCTTATGATTAAGAAACCTCCCCCCGGAAAGCTGGCCCAGCGTTTCTGAACCAGCTTGCCGGAAAGCTGGCTCAGCTTCTCAAGGGGATTGGTAGCCTTGGTTCCCAGGAATGAATCGTGTACGTTCCTGGCTCCAAGAGCTGGCCCAGCGTTTCCTAAAGGCACTTCTGAAAAGCTGGCCCAGCTTTCTTGATTGATAATTTTCTTAATCATATGGTTGACTGTGCCCTGAAGACGGGCCTGTCCCTCTACAGGAGGACGATTCAAAACTAGTCAAAAGAATAGCCTGGGGACGATGTCTGGATTTTTTTGCCATTTGCGGATACTTTCTGATTTGTTGGTTGTCGTCCAAGATTCGCCTGTATGTAGGATCGGGGGAGCGTAAGACCCGGGTTTGCCAGGACTCGGGTTCGCCATCGTTTTTTGACGACCGCGCCTCGGAATTTGACGAGGAGGAGTTTCGTGGGATGTCTGCAGCGGGAGGCCTCGTCAAAATGCAGGCTCGGCCTCGTCATTTTTTTGACGACCTCGTCGGGGATTTCCGAGTCCCCTGTACCCAGGTCTTACGTCCCCCTGGTAGGAAGACATGCCCGCCCTAAATCTCACCCAGAGCTGATGTGTGTGTGTGTGTGTGTCGATCCTGCGAGACAGAGACGCCGAAGGGGTTCCGTTGCCGGCGGTCTCCTGCTCGACCTCTGCTCGGGGGCGGCCAAGAGGGGGGTGATGACTAGGGGGGGGGGGGTGGATCCCACGGCGAGGGCCGTGAGATCTCCCCCGATGTCATGGCTAGGGGGCCACATGTGAACCCTACCCCTACCCCCTACGATTTCTGAGAAGAGGGTGGGGTTCACTTCGCTCGGGAGCTCCCGAACGAAGTGAACCCCACCCTCACCCTCGGAAATCGTGGGGGGTAGGGGTAGGGTTCACATGTGGCCCCCTAATGGCGCCTCTCTTCTGGTTTCGATACGTCCCCGGCCCCCCCCCGGGCCGCGCACATGCCGCCGGCCCTGATGTGCCCGCCACCCCTCTTCCGGAGGGTTCCAAAGGGGGTTCTTGGAGAGGGGGTTTTCCAGGAGGGGTCCCCCAGGGCCTTCGCACCCCCTGTTTGGACGAGGCTCCGAGGCCCCTGGGGGGCTCCTCCTGGAAAACCCCCTCCCCCAAAACCCCCTTTGGAACATGTCCATAATATCCCTATGATTGGCATCGCCTCATCTCGGTGCCGATCTCAGGGAGTCATTCCCTCCGCGTCTGAGGGCGCATCCCTCGGATTGTCGTCGACTTTGGGCTTGTTAACCCCAGGAAGCATTTAAGAACACCCCCCCCCCTCCGGCAAATCGATAACCCTTCCGCACCCTGGAAGCGTTACCTGGCACCAGGAGCCCTCCTGTGTCCGGGTGCTACAGCTATCGTTCGGTTATTTCGGCTCCTCGGAATATCGAATAAAAAATGCGGTGCTACGATATCGCCGGGGGGGTTCTTAAATGCTTCCTGGGGTGAATCTCAGGGATAGGGATGCGCTCGAGGCTGGTTATCAGGAGGGGAAAAAACACACAGACACAATTAATCGTCGACTCACAGAAAATATGGGAAAATATGGGAAGTGGGGGGGAAGACAAAAACCCAGAAAATATGGGGAAAAGATGGGACATGTTTGTATTTGTGTGTATTTACTTGTGTGTCCCAGGGCCCCTTCAGGTTGGCCCTCCTGGCCGCCCCCGGAGCTGCTCCTCCCCCCCCGCGCGCGCAGGGCTGCGGGCGCAGCTGGCCGAGGAGGCGTGCGCGCGCCGGGCCGCGGAGCGGCGGGCCCTGCCCGGGCGGCTGCTGGCGGGGCTCGCGGGCCGCCTCGGCGCCGTGCTCGGGCGCGGGGGCGGCGCGCGCGCGGTGGTCCTCGGCATGTGCAATCGGGGGAGAAAAAGATACGGATACGTGTTGTCCCCCGTCGTTTTCGGCCTTTCCTGGTCCTCCTGGGGAATCCTCGTTGTCACCGCTGGATTCGCCTCGAAATTCTGGTCAGAACGCACCCCAAGAGAGGTCCGGGGACAACACGTATCCGTATCTTTCCGCCCCCCAATACAAAGTCAGAGCCCCGAATCATCAGGGGTGACTCGGGTCAGGGATAACTCAGGTTCGTTTTTTCGGGAGTCCAATCCCGATTTACCCCGGACCCGAGTTACCCTGGATAACTCGGGCGTCCAGAGCCCCGAATCATCGGCTAACTCGGGTTCCTTTTTCGGGAATCCAAACCCGAGTTACCCCGGACCCGAGTTACCCTGGACAACTCGGGCGCCCAACAAAGGACGGCCTCGAGTGCGCGGAGGCATAGGAGCGCGTCGCTTCGGTGCGGCTCCGAGGCCCTCTCGTCCCCCCCCCCCCCCCCGGCTCCTCCCCCGGGGGAGGCGGCGCGGGAGCGCGAGGCTGTTCGGGAAGGAGGCGCGCTGCGCGCGGTGCGGAGCGCGGAGTCGGGCGCCCTCGGTGTGTCGGGTTGACCGAGCCCTGTCCCCCGCCCCATCCCGAGCCCCAGCATCTCACCACCCCAGTCGGGGGCATACAGTCGGGGCGCTGCAGAAGGAACCCTTTTCGTTGGGGAGGGGCTCGGTGTTCCTTGATTGTTCTACAGCTTGCCTTAGGTTTTCATGAGGTTTCCCATGGGAGATCGAAGTGTAACTTATGGGAAAAAAGGGGCCTCGTTCCTTATTTAGGATTCCTTAGGTCAACGCCCCGACTGTACCCCACGAGACCCAGAGTCGCCGAGCGCGTTCCACTACTCGCAAAGTGCCTGCTCGCAAACGTCCCCCAAAACACATGTCCGCTTCGACGTGATTTCTCGTAGACCCCTCGCGGCGGATCCAGGCCATTTGCGAGTAGTGGAACGCGCTCGTCTGCAGAGGGAGCAGCCTCTATATCCCCATCTGGGGGGCAGATCGGCCAGTGGGGCCCAGACCACGACGGTGGGGATCGGGATCGGTGAAGCGATGCTCAGGTCCTGGTGGACAACGGCTCGCTGCGCGCGGGCTCCACGCTGGGCCTGCGCGAGGTGGCGGCGCGCCTGGAGGCGGGGGAGGAGAAGGAGGAGGAGGAGGAGGAGGAGGAGGAGGATGAGGAGGAGGAGGAGGAGGAGGAGGAGGAGGAGGAGGAGGAGGGAGGAGGAGGGAGGAGGAGGGAGGAGGAGGGAGGAGGAGGGAGGGAGGGAGGGAGGTAGGGCATGGGGGAGGGAGGGAGTGCATGGGAGGGCGGAGGGAGGGGAGGGCGGAGGGAGGGGTTGACGGAAGGGGTGAGGGGACGAGGCTTCAGAGCAGGACGGGGTGTAGGGGAGGAAGCGGGAGGAGTGGCGACGGAGGCGAGAGCAGGGATGAGGGAAGAGGATACGGAGAGGAGAATGAGGCGGTGCAGTTTAATGAGAAGAGGTCGGCGGAGGAAGAGGGGAGGGGAGTTTTGTTGGACGCGGGGCTTTGCAATGAGCGTGCTCCTGATGACCAGCTCTAGATGGCTCCTGGGGGCCGAGTTGTCATGGAGAATAAATAAGAAGAGGTGCCGAGTGGAGACGCAAAGTAAATAGCTCGCAAGGAGAGCAAATGGGAACGACCCACGAGGACTGAGCCTGACACAAACGCTCACATTCCGGGACCCACGCATATACATCACCACCGCGGGTTGGTTTTCTGTCATGGGTTTGATCGCATTATTGTTTCGGCGGTGGGTTGCAGGCTGCGTCAAATCTCGCGGTAATGGCATGTCGCGTGTGCAGCGTTATTTGGGCACGCGGCTGCATGCGCAAAAAACACGCATTCACGTGGTGTATACTTCGGGGTGGTGTATGAAATTCCATGGGGTCAATCGTTTTTAGACACCACCACCGTGCGGCCATGGGCGCCCGAGAACAATTATTCGCGACCGAATGCGGCCGCCATCTTCGCGCATGACTACGTGGCAAGTGCTTGCGCTTGGCGGGCGCAGACAGTCGCACCCCTGTCAGGGCGATCGCGTGCAGGATGTTGTCCTTTCTTACGGCCGCCTTGTGGTGGTTTATATGTTTGAGCCCCGAATGCATGCCACCCAGCTGCATTCTTCACTGAAGGGCTAGAGGGGGCGCACGTGGGGTGGGGGGGTGGCCAAACTCCAAGGTGGCATCACATCTGGGGCGGGATGTCCTCGAAGAGGACAGCCGTCACCAAGCGACAACGTTCAATCAGGAGGGTGGCGCACACGAGACGGACTCGGCTGCACGCCGAATTTCTTGCACGCCTTGAGGCAAGACAGATCCTCCTGGCCCTGGCGTTTGGCAAGGAGGGTGTGCATCTTTCTTGGCATGGCGAGGTCGCGTTGCTGCGCAACGACAGTGACGCGCTGCTTGCACTCGGCAGCAATATCCTGGCTGGCACTGATAGCGCCTGGCCCGGCAGCGCTCATCTCGTCCTGGCGGATCGGCGGGCGAGGCGAGGATGGCACTTCGAAGGGAAAGAGGCGCCTCGGCAACGCGATCTCCAGGGCAGACGAAGCGTCTGACGGGGCCTCCTTTTGCAAGATGGCGGGCAGCGGGGGGTGATAAACATGCGGCGGCACAGGTGACTGACCAGGCCGACGACCGACATAGTCTGGCTGACCCCCCTCCATAAGGTGAGGGCGGTCAAAAGAAACGTGATGGACTTCAAGAGGGCCGACCAGGACCAGTGTGCACAGGGCCGCACTTTGTGCCAAGCCGCGTGCGTCGGCAACCAGGGGCGCGCGACAGACGCGTGCCGCGCAGCCCAGCCTCCGCGCAGCGTCGGGGAAGGGCGCGGCCTTGACCGGCAGCTCACAGCACCGTGCTGGACGGGATGATCCCGTGGCTTGCGGCCGCCAGCGCCTGCAGGGAAGCGCCCGGCGGGAGCGACGCGCACGGGCCCAGGCCAGAGCCCGAGGAGGAGGCGAGCTTCCTGAAATGGAGGCGGGCCTGGGCGCGACGCCCCTTGATCCACAATGACATGAGCCAACATGGCCACGGAAAGAGGCGGGGGGGAGGAGGAGTGAGGGGAGAGAGGAGGCAAGGGAGAGAGGACAGCAGGGGGGGAGAGGAGGGTGTGCTGGGAGGGAGGAGCGGCTGGGCACTGGCGCCGCGGTGCTGCCGTGCAGCTGCCGGTTCAGTGACCGGGTGGACCCGAACGAGATGGGTGGCATCCCTGCGCGGACGTTGCCGGGGCTGCTGCGGGAGCTGCGGCAGCGCCGCCTTCGCGAGGCCCTCGCCGTCGTTGCCGCCGCCGCCGCCGCGGCCTCCGGCGTCGTTGCCCCCGTCGTCGTCATTCACCCTGTCCGCTCTCGACGTCTTCGTCTCAAGACCTTGGGAGGGGGCCCTCGTCACCACGGCCAGACGCAGCTCGGTAAGCGGGTGCGCTTGGGCCCTGGCAGGGGTTCGGGGGCCGATCTTGCTCTGCCGCTGTCTCCACTCGCCCTTCGCCGATTCGTCCCCCTCGTCGGCCTGGTCGTCATCGCTGTCGCCTTCCCTGTCCTGGCCGAGTCAGGAGGGGAGGAAACACACAGACGCAAATAACCATCGACCCCCAGGATAGCGTGGGAACATCTGGGAAGTGCGGGGGGGGGGGAACACGAAGACCCCCAAACATAGTGGGAAATGTGGGGAAGCCTGGGAGTTGTGCCTACTTACCTGCGTGTCCCTGGGCTCCTTCGCCTGTCCCCGCTGAGGTCGTCCTCGTGCCCGTCTTCTTCGGGCCCAGCAACCTCGCCACGGAGTTCGTCCCCCGGCAGGTGGCCTCCGTGGCGGAGGAGCCGGGCCCGCCGATGCCCACCGTGGCGCTGGCTCCGACACTGATCTGCAGCTGCCCGTTCCTGTTTCCGAACGCCGAGCCGGACGTCAGAGGGAGAAGAGGCACCGGTTACCTCTTGGCTCGGAGGTGGACAGACCTCCTACCCTGACACGTCGATTGAAGAGTTGGCCGTTTTCGGTTCGCGAGAGGGCGTCGCGGCCATCATTTTTGCGGGTCCAGGTCCGTCGGTTTCGGTCCCAGGCCGGTTTCACTGAGGGGAGGTTTACTAAAGGGAGGTTTGTCCATCGCCGACAAGAGGCACCGATTACCTCTTGGCCTCCCAGATGGGGTCCGAGCGGATGGGGTCGGAGGATCGCGCCGCGTCGCCGATGCGTCGGCGGTGCGGGTCGACGTGGAGCCCGCTTTTCTTCGCGCCGACGTCGCCGATGTCATCGCCGACGTCGCCGACGAGGCGGCGCAGTTCTCTGACCCCGTCTCTCCTCGGACCATCCAGGGGGCCTCGATTACCGCTGCCCTGGCCTCTGGGGGGCTCGTGGGGAGGGGGGGGGGGGCTGTCCCTAATCTGGTAGGGTGAACGGGAGCACGCCCCGCTGGATATGCTCGCCTTTCCTTCTTGCACGGGACGTCCCGAGCGAGATTCCTGTAAACCCCCGCTTCTGCCCCGACCACACCACTGTGCCCCCGAGCCCCCTTTGTCGCTTCCGTGGGCCTGTCGACATTCTGCTCACAGCGCACCCGTGGGGAGGCCTGGGAGGAGCGGTGGCCCAGGTCACCCGCGAGGGCGTTCAGAGAGAGATATCGCGCTCTCGCGGCCGCGTGCGGGCAGCTGCCCTGCTCCCAGGGGGCGGCGCGAGGGTGCGAAGATGCAGTTGTGCAGCAAGCATCGCGGTGCGCGATGTGCGAAGTCAGGTTCAAGCCGGACGAAAGGGGAGGACAGGGAAAAGGAGGTTTACGAAATTTGCTGCATGCAGCTGGTTTCGGCCCCGCCGCCGGGCCCATTCCTCGATACATGGGCGCCTCCCGGCGCCGGGAGGCGCCGGGAGAATCAGCTACGTGTGCTGATTCTCACCCCCCCCCCTTTGCTATCCCCCCCTTTCGCCCAGCCCGATTACCCGATCGGGGAAACGTAAGACTCGAGTAAATCTTAACTCGGGTTTGCCGGCGCTTTTTGTCGAGCGCGTCGCCCTTGCGTTTGACGGCCCAGTTCCCCCGAGGGCTGTTCTCAGCGGGAGCTCGCGTCAAATGCTGGATTGGGTCTCGTCGTTTTCATGATGGCCCCGTCAGGCCAACCCGAGTCCCCCGTGCCTGAGTCTCACGTCTCCCCGACCCCAGGACGACCGCATCGCGCGGATTCTCCAGGAGCGGGTGCTGGAGACGGCGAGGAGCCACTCCATGTCCTCCGCGGCGGTGGCCGTGGTGGACCACGGCTCGCCCACGAGGCCCGCGGGTCCACTTGGAACGTGTAGGCCTCGTCATAACTTTCAGGAGGAAAAGAAACACACAGACACAAGTAATCCTCGGTACCCCAGAAAATCTGGGAAAATATGGGAAGCGGGGGGGATCCAAAAATATGGAAAAAGTATGGGGAATATTTTCATATGTGTACGCCTCGTCATAACTTTCAGGAGGAAAAGAAACACACAGACACAATCAGTCCTCGATTCCCCCGAAAATCTGGGAAACTATGGGAAGCGGGGGGGACCCAACAATATCGGAAAAGTATGGGGCATATTTTCAGATGTGTGTATTTATTGGAGAGGCCTGACGGCCGGTGCCGCCGACCCCTATCGAAAGGGCTAGGAGTGGGAGGAGGAGGAGGAGGAGGAGGAGGAGGAGGAGGAGGAGGAGGAGAAGGAGGGGGAGGAGGAGGAGGAGGAGGAGGAGGAGGAGGAGGAGGAGGAGGAGGAGGAGGAGGAGGAGGAGGAGGAGGATATGTGTGTATTTATTTGTGTGTCCCAGGGCCCCTTCCATAGCGGGCGAGGCGGAGCTGAAGTCGCGCGGCAGGGAGCCCCCGCCCCCGCCCGCCGAGGCCGAGGCCAGCGCGTCGGTGTGCGCGGGCGGGGCGGGTCGCTCAGCCAAGCGTGATGTCGGGCGTGTCCCCCTTTATCGCAGGCCTCGCGGTTGACACCAACACCAATATCGGCGGCGTGCCTCCACCGAGGGAAGAAGATCCCGTTCTCGGTGATGGTGGCAATATTCTGGCGTACAAGGTGGCCGAATTATTACCACCAACACCGAAATCTAGGATCATCATCCCCGTGTGGAGGCAACCCCTTGTGTTGGTGTTGGTGACAATTTCCAGGCCTCCAACTTTAGGGGGATTTTCGACGAAAAATAGAAAATACCCCAAAAATGCCCCAACAGGGTCAAAACTACCCCAGAAAATAGTCCCCAGACTATTTTTGGATTATGTTTTGATTATTTTGTGGGTATTTGCTTTATTTTTCGTCGAAAATCCCCCTGTAGGGGGACAGGCCCGACTTAAGCCAAGGCCGCCCCCCAGTTTTGAAGGGACGCGCAAGAAAGTGTGCCCAGCGCGCCCCGCAGGTTTGAGGTCGAAGGACCCACAACGGCATGAACATGCGTTTGCGACGGTCCGCGCGGATTCCTTGGATCCGCGCTGGGCCCCCCTGGCGGTGCCTCCGGCGCCGCCCCTGGCGCGCTCGGCGCGCCAGGGGGCCCTAGCGCGGATCCTAGAAATCCGTGCGGACCTCAGAGTTTGTTTTGTTTGTGTAATGCTGCTTGCTGGTGTAGCTGTTTCATGCTTATGCAAGTGTCTGTTTATGCCGCTTCTGGTTCCTCTATGACGGGGGGGCCTTGACGATGATCTGTCGTCCAGCGCCACCCCGCGGCGTCGCGTCAATGGCGACGAGAACTAGCAGCACAGCCCCGTGCAGGTGCACCTCGCCGGCCTTCTCGGGGCTTGGGGCGGGCGAGGTCGGGCTTCCGGCTTCCAGGCCCACAGGAAGCACAGCCCGCGGGCGGAGCCCGTTCGGGGAAGGTGAAGCGTGCAGCCCGCGCGGGGACCTCCGTTAGTGTCGGAGGTGGACAGACCTCCTACCCTGACACGTCGATGAGCGAATTGGCCGTTTTCGGTTCGCGAGCGGCCGTCGATTTTGCGGGTCCAGGTCCGTCGGTTTCGGTCCTAGGCCGTTGTCACTAAAGGGAGGTTTACCAGAGGGAGGCTTGTCCACCTCCGATAGTGGGGCAGCTCAAGATCAAGCGGTCCACGCGGGGTCCGACACCCGGCCCCCCTTTCGTCACGGCAGCGGCGTGCCGTGCAGAGGAAAGTTGGTGCTCGTTGGGATTCGGTTGCCTTATACTTATCCTGCTTATAGACCACTTCCAGGCCTTCCAGGCCCCGCATCCCCGGCGGACTCAAGCGCGCCTTGCCTTGCCTTGCCTTGCTTCTGTTGTTCGAGGGTGCTCAGGGCATGGCGCTACTAGCATCGATCGCGCTGACACCGTATCTGCAGCAAGCGTATCTGTGCAAACCGTAGCGCGGGCCAAGGTCTAAGCTTCTCCACGTTCCCATTCCGTTGTTGACATCCCCAGACAACCTCCGAAGCCGTCGCCAGGTTCCGAAATTCTTCAAGCATCCTCATCGTTGCCCTGCTCCTCCCAATGGAGGTATTCTGGTTTGTTTCTGCCCATGTCTCGGGCCTTGGCGGCCAATCGGGAGGATACACGCGTCCTTGGAAGGCTCGCGACGTAACGACGTTGCTGGAAAACAGCCCTGGACACGAACACATTCAGGAAACCACGGTACTCTTCCACCTCTCCTTTCTCCTCGTATCAAGAAAAGCCAGCCGGGCTCGAACTTAGCGAGTGTGGTTAGTTCTTGTGACACCTTGGCCCGCGAGGGATATCTTTTAAAGCCCCTGGATGTGCGGTTGGACCTTCCTCCTCCCCCCTCCTCCTTCCCTGCCACCACGGCTTGAAATCCCGAATCTGACCCAACTTGATCCTCCTTCCCCCCTTCCCTTGGCATCGATCGGACGTGTGCATTTTTCCTTCGGCGAGGACCATTGAGGAGCATCCTTGATCATTTAGCGAAAAAACCACGCACGATACGGAAAAAGCATAGGGAATCGACGTCCGAGCGATGGCCAGTTTCCTCCTCCTACCTCCCCCCTCCCCCCTTCTCGAGGTACGTGGCGCGGTGCCGCGACATGGTCGTGGGCCAGCTGGCCGGCCTCCTGTCCCCGCCCGAGCCAGAGCAGCGCGGAGGGTCGTGCGGGGCATAAATGCCGCACCCCCATCATTACCTTTCAGTCGGGCCTGTCCCCCTACGGGGGGGAATCTTCAAGAAATAGTCCAAGCATAGTCTGGGGATGATTTGTTGGAGTATTTGTTCAATTTTGGGGGGGTATTTTATGAATACAGCCGGGGCCCTGAAGAAGGAACCCTTTTCGTTGTGGAGGGGCTCCGTGTTCCTTAATTGTTTCACAGCTTGCCTCAGGGCTTCCTTGTGTTCTCGATGGGACATCGAAGCTTAGATTATGGAGAAAAGGGGCCTCGCTCCTTATTTGAAGTTCCTTAGGTCAACGCCCCCACTGTATATCTTTAATCGTTTCCAAAAACCCCCTGTAGGAGGACAGGCCCGGCCCAACACTGCCTCCCACGCCGCCTCCGAGCACCGTCCCCGAGGGCCGGGGCGCACCCGCGCGGGCCTCGGAGGCCCCGCCCCTGGCGGACACCGGCGCGCCCCGCCTTCGCTCCCCGCCCTCCGCTCTCCCGGCGCCCCAGGGGAACGGGTGCGGGCAATGTCTTTATATATCCACATCCAGTGCGTCTTGGAGTTTCGGGCACTCTTCCCAAGAAACAGGAGGCGCACTGGAGATGGATCATAATCTGCCTCCAGAAGGCTCGATTGTTATCCATATCCAGTGCGCCTCGGCCTTGCGGCGCCCCTTCCAAGAAAGTCCAAGGCGCAGTGGATATGGATATAAATACTGCCCGCATCGGATGCAGCTTCCGGGAGGCCATGCTCTGACTCTGCCCTGGTCCGAGGCGTCCTCTTCCCCCTTTCCTGCCGACGGCTTGGTATCGCTCGGACGTGTGCACTGTTTCTCTCGGCGGGGACTATGAAGGAGCCTCCTGGATGATCCTGCGAAACAGCCGCGCACGAGACCGAAAAAATTGCACAGGGAATGGACGACCGAGCGATGGCCAGACGAAGACCTCCCAGTAGCTGCCTCCCAACATTCGGGCGAAGAGAACTATACACATGCACCGATCCTGGCAAGGCCCGTCCTTGACCCAGGATCGGTTCATATACCTTCCTGGCCAAGGTAGGAGGGCGTATGCACCGATCCTGGGCTCAGGGTTGGGCCTGGCCAGAATCGGTGCACGTGCATAGTTCTCTCATGACGAGGGAGGGAGGGAGGGAGGCGGAGGGAAGGGTGCCTGCCCTGCCCGCCACAGACGAGGGCCTCGCAGGTTTGAGCCCCGGGTCGTCGCCGGCTGCTGCATGGAGAGGAGCGGCGGCGCAAGGCGGAAAAGGGGCCTCGCCCCGCGGGGGGCGGCCTCGTCGGAGGGCGAGAGGCCTCTCGGAGGGGCCCGGCTCTGCCCGGGGGCTTCCTGGAGGGTCGGCTGCACGCAAGAGGGATCTGTCGCCAGAGTGACCTGTGGTGCGGGCCCCCAAGGAGGAGGAGGAGGAGGAGGAGGAGGAGGAGGAGGAGGAGGAGGAGGAGGAGGAGGAGGAGGAGGAGGAGGAGGCTGGGCCCCCTCCCGTTCGCCGAGCGCGATGCGACAGTAGCGTCCTGCGCGCTCGTGTCTGCCCCCCCCCTCTCTCCCCCCTCCCCCGCGGCGCCCCCAAGAGGCCGCGCACCAGGCGTCACTCTTATAGCCAGGGGGTCGCTCGTGCGTGCAGCCGAGAGGGCGCCTTGACCAGACGGGCGGGGTGGCTGCTCCTCGAGGCCTCCCGTGCGGCTCGATGCGCACCCCGACCTCCTCCAACGCCGACGGCGCCGATGCACCGCCGACGTCGCGCCGATGCATCGGCGAGGTGCGGCGCGATTTCCCCGACCCCATCGGCGCTGATCCCACCGGGGAGGCCTCTATGGGAGGCGCAGGGCGCCCTCTTAGAAGCCACCCCTCTCGCGCGGGGCCCCCTCCCTCTGCGCGCCGCCACGAGGAGGGAAGGCCCCGAGTACGACTTCAACGGCTCGCTCCTCGAGGACGTCCTCCGGGAGCACGCGGAGTTCCAGGGCGGGGACGTCATCGTCGCCCTGATGTTCCTGCAGCCTGGCAAGCACGCGGGCGGGGGCGGAGACCTCGACCAGATCATCGGTCAGGCCCAGGAGCTCTGGGGCAACGTCTCAAGGGGGAGGAGGAGGAGGAGGAGGAGGAGGAGGAGGAGGAGGAGGAGGAGGAGGAGGAGGAGGAGGAGGAGGAGGAGGAGAGGAAGAGAGGAAGAGAGGAAGAGAGGGAGAGAGAGGAAGAGAGGAAGAGAGGAAGAGAGAGGAAGAGAGGAAGAGAGGGAGAGAGAGAGGAGAGAGGAAGAGAGGAAGAGAGGAAGAGAGGAAGAGAGGAAAGAGAGGAAGAGAGAGAGAGGATGAGGAGGAGGAGGAGGAGGAGGAGGAGGAGGAGGAGGAGGAGGAGGAGGAGGAGGAGGAGGATCAGGAGGAGGAGGAGGAGGAGGAGGAGGAGGAGGATGGGGAGGAGGAGGAGGAGGAGGAGGAGGCGGAGGAGGAGGAGGAGTGAGGAGGAGGAGGAGGAGGAGGAAGGAGGGGGGAACGTCTCAAGAGGAGGAGGAGGAGGGGGGGGGGGAGGAGGAGGAGGGGAGGAGGAGGAGGAGGAGGAGGAGGAGGGAGGAGGAGGAGGAGGAAGAAGGAGGAGGAGGGGAGGAGGAGGAGGAGGAGGAGGAGGAGGAGCAGGAGCAGGAGCAGGAGCAGGAGCAGGAGGAGGAGGAGGAGGAGAGGAGGAGGAGGAGGAGGACGAGAGGAGGAGGAGGAGGAGGAGGAGGAGGAGGAGGAGGAGGAAGCAGGAGCAGGAGCAGGAGCAGGAGGAGGAGGAGGAGGAGGAGGAGGAGGAGGAGGAGGAGGAGGAGGAGGAGGAGGAGGAGGAGGAGGAGGAGGAGGAGGAGGGGGGGAATGGCTGAGGAGGGGACGCGTTGACCCCCCCACCCGCCCACTGATCGCCGGTGGGGGCCCGGTAGCCCGCCCCGTCCGGGAGCGCCGGGTCCTGCAATCAGGGAGGCGACGTGTCGTCGATTCCAGGGGGGGGGGCCCCACGACGACTACGACGACGACGACGACGACGACGACGACGACGACGACGACGACGACGACGACGACGACGCCGAGGCCGAATAGCCCACCCCGCCCAGGACCGTGCGGACTCGCAATCGGTGGCCTGTCGCCGATCCATCGGCGGTGCATGGCCGATTCCGTGTCGATCCTCGCCCCCCACTGTCGCAGATCTGTCGGCGACGTGTCGTCGATTCCAGGTCGACGCGTCCAGTCCCTACGGTGGGGGCGTTCGTCAGGCAATGTGACCAGGAGGCTTCAGACCCTGGATGAGGAGGGAAAAAAAACACACAGACACAAATAATCGTCGATTCCCCAGAAAATATGGGATAAGATGGGAAGTGCGGGGAGGACAAAAACCCAGAAAATATGGTGAATCCTGTAATTTGTGTGTTTTTATTTGTGTGTCCTCGGGCCCCTTCATCAGACCCTGGAGGATTCCTCATCCGAGGAGGGCGGCGGCGATGTCCAGGGCCAAGCCTCAATCGCTGCCCCGCGGGCTGTCGGACTGCGGCCTCCTCAATCCAAGGGTGCCTCATCCAATCAATGCCAATGCCTCCGCCTCAGCGCTGCCCCTCACAGGCGGCCCTGCCCGACGGCGCCCGCCGGCGGGTCGTCATGACCGAGGTGGTCGGGGCGCACCCGCTGCTGCTGGACATCCTGGCGGAGCGGGCCCGGCAGGCTCGCGCGCCCGTCTGCGGCTGGTGAGGCGCGCGGGGGCGGCTAGTGCAGTGATAGGGGGGGGGGGCGCATCGACCCCAAATCGCCCAATCATCTCGAAGAAAAAAACGACGCCATGAACCTGAACTTTTGGTGCTCCGCGCGGATTTCTTGGATCCGCGTGGGGCCCCCCCGGCGGCGCCTCTGGCGCCGCCCCTGGGCGCCAGGGAAGGGGCTCCGGCGCAGGTCCAACACATCCGCGCGGAGCGCCACAAGTGTATGTTTCTGTTTTTTTTTATGTTTTTCTAGCATCGCCGATGGGGGCCTGACAGCCCCACTCTGCCCAGGAACGTGGGTTTTTTGCTACCAGGGGCCTCCAGCCGATCTGCCTGGCGACGTGCCGCCGGTTCCAGGTCGATGCTTCCCCCCTTAGACCAGTCCCCCCCCACACTTCCGTTTAGGTCGGGCGTGTCCTTTTGCAGGCGGGTTTTGGACAACAGAGATAAACATGGTCAAACAACATGTTCGAACACGGTCAAACATGGTAGAAACATCCTCCCCTGACGATTTTTTGGGTATGCTTGAATCTTCCTCCTCTGGACGGACAGGCCCGACTCAGCCGTACGTGGCCCTCGAGGGGCCAGGGCTCTGGGCGCCTCCGAGCAGACCTGCGCCCGGGCAGGCGCCCTCCCACTGTCGGGGACTTTGCGGCCCGGCGCATCGCGCCGCCGGTCTTCTCTTCGCGACCTGAGCGAGCTCCGCCGCCCAGAGCTTCAGGCAGTGGCGAAGCGTCCTAGTGTGCCTAGAGGCATACCAAGCAATGTTCTAAGAGCTTTTTTGTGGTTTCCACGGAGTGTCCTCAGAACATTTCTGGTTGAGACCGTCCGTCTTGTTTTAACACCTCGGGCTCATGTTCTAAGAACAAGATTCTGTTCTTAGAACATTCTTTGGGTACTGAGAACATGTCGTGGTAGGACTACAGGAATGCCAGGACGGTCGGTTGGTCCCTGCTCAAAAGCTCTTTCCCCCCCCCCGCGCTCTTTCTTTCTTCCCTCGTGTCCAATTCGGCTCCGATCTTTCCCTCGGCTGTCCCGACCGCGTCTTGGACCCAAGTCGCCGCTGACAAAATCGCGTCGCCTGTCCTGGCCTACCACGTCGCGTCGCGACACGCAAACCACGGCCCCGCCCCCGAGCGTCTAACGGTCCGAGCCTCTCCCAGCCTCCGGCGGAGCGGAGCGGAGGGACGCGCCATCCGCCCGCAGGGCTTGGCGTGTCGCCTGGACCGCCGCCGCCGCGACACGCGAAGCCAAGGTTTCCGATTTCGCCTCCCGGTGGGCGAGACGACCCTGAGAGCCGACGCGGGAGACGTGGCATCGCTCGGACGTGTGCATTTTTCCTTCGGCGAGGACCATCGAGGAGCATCCTTGATCATTTGGCGAAAAAGCCACGCACGAAACCGAAAAAAACGCAGGGAATGGACGTCCGAGCGATGGCCAGGAGAAGAGGCTACGCACCGCTGCGGGAAGGCAGGGCCTCCCCTCTCGAGCCCACCCTCCTGCAGCACCGCCCCCACGAGCCCAGGTCGGTCCACGAGAGGTCCGCTGGTCCGAGGTCCAAAAACCATCACGTCACTAATTTTGGGCCCCAGGGCCCACTGAGGCCCCAGGGGCCCTAGATTAGTGAAGTGATGTTTTTCCGACGCAAGAACCCCGAAATTCATCACTTCACGAAACCGAGCCCAGGACGAAAGTCAGGGGCCGAGTTGCTGCTGTGATGCAACGTAGGTCTCGCATCTGGGACCCGAGGCCGAGGAACCAGACGACGGCACCGTGACCCGTCGGAGCTCCGCGCGGGGGCTCCCTGGGATCGCCGCGGGGGGGCCCCTGCCCGCGGCGCCGGCGCCGACCCGGGAAGCCCGCGCGGGTATCCGAAAGCTTCGGTTCGTGCAGGTGGTATTTTTGTTGGTTAACGCTATACCTGAAACAAAGGGGTGTGGTATAATATGTACTCCAGATGTCGTAATAAAAGGGAGGGGGTCTGGACCCTCCAAGACAAGCCATTTCAGACCTCCCCCGTGGGAGAACCCTCCAAAACATCGTCCCCGGACCCCCCCAGGCCCTCCAAGATAGCCTGGAAGAGACCCCCCCCGAAATGAGACCCCCCTCCCTTTATTACGAAATGGGGTGTACGCTGTCACTGCGGAGAAAAACCGCATCCTGGTATAATATCTACGCTGGTGTAATATGCACGCTGTCACAACCCCCCCCCCCCCTTACTTGTGACCCCTGGACAACCGGTACTTCGCCACCGGGCTCCTGCCGAAGGCGTCCCTCTGCAAGGACTTCGGCTTCGGCGCCGCCTGTGTCCGAGGCTCTGCCTCCTCCTGGCCTCGTTCTGAGGCTGCGTCCCCCTTTTCCTCCCCCATCTCTGCCTGATTCAAGCTTCGCGCGGCCCGCTTAGCTTCGACGGGAAGAGGTGCGCTCTCGACCCGCGGATCAAAAAGAAGTGTGCGCGTGCAGGTTTTATTTCTTTGGTTTTACTTGTGGCCCCTGGACATCGGTGGAAGGCGGCCACACATCAGACGCCGTGTTCCACGGAGACCCCGCGATCCCGCGAGCGGTCCCAGTGCTGTGCCTCCGGGGCCCGCGGAGGGCATCGCGGGTCCCGGGTGCCCCCTGCGGGACGCAAGCAGAAGGGATTTTGAGACTGCGGCGTTATATCGCGAAGGCCTCAATTACGGCCGGTGCCGCCTACCCTGGAGGGGCTTCCCTTCGACTCTCGATGACAACGTTGCTCCATTTCGCTGTGGATGGGCTGGTGTATTTCTCTTTGGCTGGCGTGCTTGCGGACGAGGGCCCAAGGAGAGGAGGGAGGGCGGCGACGGACTCAGGGGAAGGAGGGGACGTGATGGCGGCGGCGACGCGACTGCGCCAGCGACGGCGATGGCGAGGGAGCAGGCCCCTGTCACGCGCCGACAGGGCCGGCGGAGTTCTGGGCGGGAGCCTCTGCTTCGCGTGTCGCGGCGCCAGCTCTGGCCCACCACCTTTTCCGGGGCAAAAGACGCGGACCGATCCCGTCCCCAGGCGCCAGCGTCCCGAGCTTTTCCGAGCCTCCCGCCCCGCGGAGCGGAGCGACACGCGATCCGCGTGCAGGGCACAGCGAAGCGCGAAGATGCAGTTCCGGACCGCAGGGGTGCAGATGGCGAGTGAAAGCGTCATGCGACGACCCTGCGACCGCGCACTTCCGAGCGGTCACGAGAGAAGTCGGCGTCGCCCGTCTCAGAAGTCCTCTTCCCTGGGGTCCCGTCTGGAACCACGCTCGCGCGCCGCCACCTGTCAAGGGAGGAACAACCACCCGGACCGGACAATTGGCGTTTCCTAAAACGGCCTTGGGCGTTTACTAAATGGCCCTGCCCTGTTCGATTCCTGCTTTGGGCGCGTTTACTAAACGGCTTCGCGTGTCGGGATGGTTATTATCGGGGTGGGTTCCCTGCCCTCTAACCTTAAGTCGGGTCTGTCCCTCTACAGGGGGAAAATTCAAAAATAGTTTAAAAAAATAGTCGGGGGACTATTTGGGGAGTTTTTTTGTTTTGCATCTTTTGTTCTTCTTCGAAACTCCCCCTGCAGGGGGACACGCCCGACCTAACTCTAACCTGACCCTGATGGTCCGCTACCGAAAATTTCCGGTAGCGCTCCGCAGAGATCGGTCGCTACCGAAATACCGAAATGTAGCGCCCAATACCGGTATCAGACCGTTCTGAAATCCGCTGTTTCAACGCCCTCAAAAGAAGATCCGGTCGCTACCGAAATTCGGGGTGCGTCGAAATCGCTACCGAAAATTTCCGGTACCAGACCATCTGGGATTGCCAGAGGCCGGTCGAGGCTGGAGGCCCCCCCGGCCGCCCGGTGCGGCGCAGCGCACGGGCGTCTTCTCCTGCAGCCGCGGCGGCGGTCCCGGCGCGGCGCGCGCGCGTGGCGCGCGGTGGCGGCGCGGCGTGTGCCGCCGCCTGGGGTGAAGTCGGGCTTGTCCTTCTGCAGGGGGAATATTTCGGAGGCGGACAGAACCCCCAACAGTGACACGTCGATGAGTGGATTGTCCGTTTTCGGTTCTCGAGAGGGCGCCGTGGCCGCTATTTTCCAGGCTTGCGCCCGTCAGGTTTGGGCCTCAGGTCGTTTTCACCAAACCACGTTTTACTAAAGGGAGGTCTGTCCATCCCCGAATATTCAAAAGTAGTCTTAAAAATAGTCGGGGGACTATTTCTGGAGTATTCTTTGACCATTTTGGAATATTGATGGGGGTATTTCTATTTTTCGTCGAAACTCCCCCTATAGACACGCCCGACTTTTAAGCCTGGGGGCGCGGCGTCCTCCTGCGGGCCGCCCTCCCTCCGTCCGTGATGCCGCCGCGTCTTCTCGCGCACGACCCGCTCCTCTCCTCTGGGCCTCCAGGCCTGAGGGGGTCCGAGTAGATGGGCTCGGAGGCTCGTACCGCATCGCCGATGCACCAGCGATGCCTCGGCGATGCGGCTCGATGTTGGGCCCAATTTCCTCCACGCCGACGTCGCTGAGGCATCGCCGACGCCGCCAGCGCATCGCCGAGGCATCGCCGATGCATCGGCGATGCATCGCCGATGTATCGGCGATGTGGCGAGATCCTCCGACCCCACCTAGTCGGACCCCATCTAGGAGGTCTCTATTCTCTCCGTCGTTCACCCTGGTGCGTGGTCAACCTGCAGAGCCTCCGCAGCCCACAAGGGGGCAATTCTCGGGGAGGGACCGAGCGGGCCCGTGACTCGCGCGAGAGCACCCTCGAGGCCTGCGATGGTGCTGCTTTTTGGCGCCGCTGGGGCGCGTTGTAGCGCGCCCCAGCGGCCGCGTGCGTGGCTGCACCGGCCCCGCTCCGGCGCCCGCCCCGGCGCCGCGTCTAGCCGCCGACGCAAAAAGCGTGGTCGCCCTGGAACGCAGCATCGTCCGTCGACGACGCGCCAGGGAGGGGGGGGGGGAGGCGTGGCAGGGCGAGGGACGCGGCCTTCGAGAACGGCTCCGCGCCTCCCGAGGGTTCCCTGGCCTTCTGGGGAGCAGTTCTCATGGCGCCAGCATCGCAGAGCGGAGTTCGCTCGGAAAGCGACAGGATGGGCCCGGGGTGTCCTGCAGAATTTCGCTCCAGATTTCGAGGTGAATTTCGCGCGGAGTTCTTCTTTGGTCAGGAAGGGAGACCACAAGACAACCGCGCGAAATCCACTCCGTTTGTCACTCGCCGTTTCGGGGTTTTGCACTGGCAGAAATCCACGCGCAAATCCGCTGCAGCACGTCTGCAGGGTCGGTGCAGCGACAGGTCCGGGCGCCTCCAGGGATGGGCCGGCCTCTTCTGAGGATCAGGGCTGGACCTAAACGGTGTTTTGGCGATTTCGTGGGCCGTTCTCGTTTCGATTTCGTTTTGGGGTAAAGGCGGATTGAAGACAAAACGAGGGAAAACGAACACCGAACGGCTACGAAAAACACCGTTTAGCTTAAGCATCTGCTGAGGATCGCCTCCTGCCTTCCCAAGAGGCCGCCACCCCTCTCGCCCTGCCGCCTTATTTGCGCGCCGGCGAGCGCATCTCACGTCGTGCATTCTCCCATCGTCTTGGCTCTTCCTTCTATGATGTTCCAACCTACATTTGCCTTGATCATCACAAATAATTTCGAGCGCAAGAATAGTACCCCAAAACTTGAGGGTTTTCACGTGTCGGGCCCTGGGAAACACTCGTCCGACACTGTTTCGATACTATTTCGACACTCTTTCGACATTTTTCCGGGTGCTCGAAATTATTTCCGGCATGTGGTGCTTAAGTACGATGGGAGCAACATAGTCCTCCTTCTGCTCAGCATACAGTCGGCCCTGATTGGTATCCCGACCTATGCAACCTGCACGTCCTTTGGTGTTCTGGGGCCGCGTTGCCGTCGGAAGAGTCTTGTGTCCTCTCGGGTGTCCTGTCCAATCAAGTCTGATTGTACTGCTCGGCCACTGTCCTCGTGCTCAGCGAAGCACGTCGCACGCAGGCCCGGTGCGGTCGCATGCTCTCTAGCTCCGACCAACAGGCGACCCAGCATCGCGGCACAAGCGAACCTCGATTACACCGTGGCGGCAGAAGGCCCTGAACAGCGAAGCTGAAGAGTAAAGACAGCACTTTACCGTATACTGTGCGTACGGGAGACCACACAGGAGACCGTGTTGGGGAGCACGCGTCGACGAGACGTAAGAGTGACCTTTCGCGCCAGGGTGACCCTTGGTGCGGGCCCAATGGGGCCCCCCGATCGCCGAAAGCGGTGCTATAGCAGCGTCTGGCGCGCTTGTGTTGTGCGCTGGCCTAGCGGTCGCACTTGTTCACGCCCTCGTGCTTGCAGGTTCGCCTGTGTTTTCCGCCAGATCTTGCCAATGCGCCGTCAGGGCGCGACTTTTGTGTGTGCGCGTGGCCCCCCCAAAAGCCGCGCGCCAGAGGTCACTCTTGCCTATGGGTCACTCTTACGTGTAACCGAATACGGGAGACCGCACGCGAGGCCGTGCGGGGGACCATGCGGGAGACTATGCGGGAGACCGTGCGGGGGACTATACGGGAGACCGCACGGGAGATCGCACTGGAGACCATACCTCGGACCCCACGGGAGACCAACGAGGGGAGCAGGAGGAGGACGACGAGGACGAGGGGCGAGGTTCGTGGAGCGATGGGGGTGCGCAGAGGCAGCAGGCCGCGGGGAGGACGGTGAGGGCAGCGGGGCCGAGCAGGCGCCCGCCCGCCCGCCTCCAGGAGCCCCGGCGCGCGCGCCCGCGCCCCGGGAGCCGGAGGGGCCCCGGGGCGGCTACGGCGTAGGCGCGGGCTCTGCGCCAGACCGCCCCCCGTTCGACTAGACGTAAGAGTGACCCTTCGCCGGAGTGACCTTTGGTGCGGGCACAGATGGATCCCCAGATGGCTGAAAACGCAGCAGGAGCAGCGGCCTGCGCGCCCAGGTTTGGTCCCCCTGCGGTCCCCCAGAAGCCGCGCACCAAAGGTCACTCTTACCCAGGGTCACTCCTGCGTGTAGCCGACCCGTGCCGTGCCGCCCTCCATGCCAATGTCCTGGTTTGGGGGACCTGATCCCAGCGGAGGTGGGGCTGGAGAGCACTGAGCCAGGGGTGCTGGGGGAGCTGGGGAGGTCGGTGTCCCCCCCAAGTGCGACTGGCTCACGGCGCTGGCCAAGCCCCACCTGGCGCCGCGCTGCAGCCCAGACCTCTGTGAGAGGAGGTCCGAGGGGGAGGCGTCTCCCACAGCGCTGCCCCTCCGTCGTTTTCCCGCGATGGAGCCCCCATTTGGAGGCCCGCGTCGCTGCCGCTCGATTCGCCTCGAGACTTCCTGGTCAGAACGCGCCCTGGGAGAGGCCTGCAGAGTAGCATGATGGGCCTGTTTTCAACCACTACCATCATAAGTTGGAGGGGGGAAGGAGGTGGAGGACGAGGAGGAGGAGGACGAAGAGGAGGAGGAGGAGGAGGAGGTGGAGGAGGAGGACCCCCTCCCCCGCCAACTCATGGTGGTGGTGGCAAACAAGCCCATCATAGCAGCATCAGTGCCTGTCAGTTTCTCCAGGAGGGGTGTGCCCGACGTGCCAGGGCCCCGCCGAGGCGATACCAACAGTCGATGCTGGTCGACACCGAGCGTGCACCGTGTGCCGAGGGGAGGCAGGGAGGGCGGCGCATGGGCGCGAGAGCCCAGCGCGTCTCGCCCCCCTGGCAGTTTTCTTTCCCTTGTTGCCTCGTGGTGCGTTCCCTCCTCCACTTGACGCTGGCCGATGGGTGCCCTGAACGCTTCTTTTGGGGCGCTGTGGGAGCGCCTTGGGAGCCTCCTGGGCCTTCCCGAGGCCGTCTTGGGGGTGCTGGCGCGATTCTTCTGCGGGCTCGGGGCCCTCGTGGACCGTCGGGGGGGCGGCCGCCTCTTGGAGCCCCTCTTGGACCGACTGGGAGGAGCCCTCGTGGCCCCGAAGCAGGCCTGCGGGAAAGCGCCCGCCGCGGGCACGCGCCGAGCCCTCTCTAGACTCGAACATGTCTGGTCCGCCGGTCCCCGGGAGAACCCTCGGGATCGAGGGCTGCGGACGAAGGACTGAGCCGAGGACGCGCCCGGTCCGCAGGGCTGGACCTCAGCGGTATCTTTGGGTGATTTTTCGTGGGCCGTGTTCGTTTCGGCTTCGGTTTGCGGTAGAGGCGGACTCGAGACAAAAGCGAGGGAAAACGATAACAAACCGAAAACGAAAAGCACCGTTTAGGCTCGGCCCTGCCAGTCCGTGCCCAGCGGCACGGCGGCGGACGCCACAGGAACAGACAGGCGCAGCAACAACCGAGTGGACGACGCATCTAACGTGACAAGGCGTCGCGAAGTCACGCCGGCGAGTTCGTCAGCGTGGGAGCCCCCACATCGGCATCGATCCACATGTACAGATCGTGCGCCAAATCCGTCCTGAGCTACGTCGCGCAGTTCACAGAGACCACTGCCAAAGTCTTTGGCGACGTGGAGCCTAATTAGGGCCATCCACGAGACCCTCTACAAGCCTGGCATGTGCGCCTTGGCCGCAGTCTTCCTCAGCCTCGCCAACTGGCCCAACCTGAATTTCCTTCCCATTCATTGAACTGATGGGCTACTCATCCATGACGCGCATGGCGCTGGAGACCGTACCGCAGTGGCAAGGTTGGCTTCAAGTGCTTCGTGGTACTGCTGAGCACGAAGGAGGAGTCGCTGCGCCTCTCATCGCCATGAAAGATGGATCGCCGCCAATGTTGCAAGTCGCCGACCTTTGCTTTCGATTTGGAGAACGCAACCGCCACGCTCCCCGAGGACAAGCACGTGAGGCCGCCCAAGCCGTGATTGTCCCGGGAAGCGCCCGTCGCGCAGCAGCAACAGCAGTGATTGAAGGTCTGCAGGCCAGCCGAGTCCGCACGCGGCGCACAGTTGCTCGCGACAGGAGTCCCCCCCTTTTCCCAGATGGCCTCGTCCCCATCCTCCGCGCGCGACTCGCCAAGTGGACGCCGAAGGCCGAGCCAGAAGCACTAGACCCGAACAGTGCATGACATGCCCTCAAAAAGAAACATTGGCGCTGTGGCCGCTTGCGGTCCAGAGCGTTGTTATCTGAATTGTCCCAGGTACGTGGGCAGCCTCATGCAGGCTCCCGACGGCCACCCAGCCTTGACTTTTTTGGCTGCCCGTACGGCAGCAGCTGGATGACCAGAACCACTGCTGCTATTGTGGTTCGCTCTCGATGCTAAGGTCGCCGCAAGGACCCGACCCGCTGCCCGCCGAGCCCTTGACCTCTCGT